CTATAGCCGCCCACTCGGTCACCATCAGTTTCCTTCGGTTTACCCGACCCCAGCATGTGGGTACAATCGAGAACCGGGGACTGCCATGGGTTATTCCGAGACCGAATTTCACGGAACCTAGTGGCATCAATGCCGTTGACTTCGTAGTCGAAAACTGCTTCCGCCGATGTTGCTTAACAAAATAACCTGTTGCTCCCACAGAGAAGTCCCTGAAGCTACAACTGCTCCCACGCTCCCTTTTTCTGAAGAATTTCCCGAGGTGTGCGTTTAAACACCGAGGGTCCTAGGCATCCTTGCCGCTGTGTTTCTTGCCAGGCAACTTCGAAAAGTGCCCTTCAGGCGAAGTCCCCCAACGGCTCAACCGCACTCCAAGAAGCGAAGAAATACCCACAGCTTCATAATTTTTTGGTCGTTTCACCCCCCGACAATTCCGCTTCCCGCCGTTCACCCAGCGTCCGCTTTTGTCGGATGGGGTATAGTCGGTGTTGCCCGCGCGAACCCGGCCACGGTGGAGGGGCAAAGTCTATCGGAGTCGGGGTAGCCTTAGTAAAAAGGGATCCATGCCCAACCGCTTTGCAGCCCACCGTGCCCGTCACGCCACTAAACTCCACAGCTCCCGGTCCCAGCTTCGCCGCTGCGCCGTCACCTCGTGTAGACGCCCGGGTCAAGGAGAAACCAGCGAACTGCACCAGTATTGTCCTTGCGGCGCCCCGGTTTTTTCGCGTGCTGTTTCACCCAGCCCGCTTTTGTCGGAGCAGAACAGTGCCGCAACTCCCTTTTTTTTTTGTTTTTTTCTGTACAGCTGTCGAACGAGCACCAACCCAGGTGCCTTTAACCAGCGCAGGGTAGGCCCATGTTCACCCCCGTTATTCGGCCAAGTAAGTTGACTGCATGAGTCAGAACTAAAACTTGGTGGGGATGGTGAGGTTCGGGCGACGGAAGGTCACAGATCGTTCACACCGGCTTTTAACCTGCCCTTCGCGCCGTTCTTTAACCCCCGCTTAGCCGTCGGGTAGTTTCTTCCCGTGTGTCCCGGCGGCCTGTACCACACTCCGAAATTGTCGGCGTAGCACCTTGAACACCGTTTAATCGTGGGCTGCTGCGGCTGTCCCCGAAAACGGCTTCCATGAACGGGAAAACCGATCTCGAAATTGTCGAACAGCTGGCAAACAGCTCCAGGCACGCAGTGTCAAACGAGTGTTTTTCAGGTGTTCAGTCCCGATATGCCCTCGCGCCTGCGCCCCACTCCGCTTAGTGCGATAAAGCCACACGCTTTTTGTTGCAGCCCGTAAGTGTCGGCGGGTCTAAAGTTCCCGTTTGTCCACGTGCACTCCTGCCGAAATACTCGATGACGCACCCGCCATGCAGTAAAAGCCGCTGCACTTCAGGTCGGGCGGGACGACAGTTGACCCCGCATAATTCGGGCAATTCGCGTGTCGTCTCTCCTCGCCACCGACATTTTCGGACGCAAAACACCATTTGCGCCTGGCGAGTTCCCCAGCCGACATTTTCTCCACAGATGCTCCGAAATTGTCGCCCTTGCTGACGCAGACTCCTTTTCGCCAACTGCCGAAGATCCTTCCGCAGATCTCGCGCACAAGATGACGGCGAGCCACCGTCGTCACTCGTCGCGTGAGGACGATCCCGAAATCTTCGCGCAACTGTTGACGCAGATCTGCCGACGCCAGCTGCCAAACATGATGACGAAGTCGAGGCCGTTCATGCAGATGCCGACGCAGGTCCGCTGACGCCAGCTGCCACACGAATAAACCTCCGAAATCGTCGGAAATCGCAGCGGAAATTACTCACTTTATGTCGCGACAGCTACTGCTGCCCGTTGCCCGGGGGGAGGGAGGTCACGGTCGATCGCGACCGTTCGAGGCAAGGATCCGGCGGTGCCGAGGAGTGCACGATAAATCCATGGCCGCGAAGAGCAACTAACCCGTTCTCTTGGCCGGCCTAGGCAACTCCTGGACCCCAGGACATCCTTCCTCGTCCCCCCCCCGAGGGGTATTACACTCTAAAAAGCGGGGTGAGCTAGGAAAGTAGCTCTGATACCAGGTGTTATGAATAAACTTGCAGAGTGCGCAGAATATCGAATAACGAGAATGAGAATTACAGAATGCCGATACAATGAGAATGCCGAGGCCTAAATAGGGGAAATCCTAGCTAGGCGGGGAGGTTGGGCGAGGATGGCTCGGTGATGGTTGCGATTGGTGCGGAGGCGACTCGGGAGTGGTTCGGTGCGACGAAATAGGAAGAACAGGTTCGTCGCGTGACCCTCGGGATGTCCTCGCTAATAACTGGCTACAGTAAGGAATTCTAATTCCTTACACTATTTCGAGATTTGTAACCTCTCCAGTTTCTTGTTACGAGAACGAAAGTGCAGATTCTCTGAAGTTTTTCACGCTGCATCTTCGAGCTCCTTGCGTTTGTCTGTCATTTTAAAACCAGAGGGCCAAGAAGGCCTAGTACAAGCTATGAGGGCTTGTTCGTATTTTTGACACCAGTGTCATTTGGCTATTTTGATACTACCAACATAGTTGGCATGGTGTCAAAATTTAACAGAATGGTGGCCAGTAAAATGAGTCGGACACCCTCAGACTTTGACAAAGTCAATAATTACGAGCCAGCCAGAATCGTCGCAACAAACAACCCCATCACCCCTAGCGCCCAGTCAAGACACACCGTTTCCTACGTCAAACCTACAGCTAGTTGAGAACTTCGTTGGCTTCGACGTGCACAAATCAGCTGAATACACTAGGAGGACCCAACTAATCAGCTGCGTCGTTGATGATCCTACGTGCGCTTCGAGTTGACACTGATGCTATAGTGATCGACACGCATAATCACTAGCACTTTGGGCTGACACGCATAGCCACCTGGTGTCAAAACTACGGACAGGATTTGAGCCCCTTGCGCTAGTAAAATCTCTACCTTGGACACTAAAATCCCAGCAGTCGCTTTGGGCCGTTGATCTCCAAGGGCGCGCCGCTTATCTGTCTGAGATCCCTTGAAGCGACAACGGCTGCTTAAAATCGGCATCGCGAGTGACGGAAACATTATCCGCGGCCGCGGTCACACCTAACAGCCGGATCAGCGGCGACATCGCCGACAAAAGCGCGAAGACAATGCAATCGCAGCGACAACGCAATCGCAGCGACAGCGCAAGCACAACGCAAGCACCGTGCGACACCGGCGGCATCACGAGTAGCGGCGACGCTGGCGCGGCGACGTCCTTGGCAGGCAACATGAAGAGCATCAGCATCGGTGTCATGGTTTTGCGCGGCACCCCGGCGGTTGTGGCGCGATGCTCTGGCTTCGTGCTCGCTGCACTGGCTGCTTTCATGCTCTCATGTATGATGCTCTTCTGCTCTCACTACCACTATGGCATTTTGATACTCTCATGCTCTCACTTTACTCTCGTGGTCTCACTCTTCTCTCAAGCTATTACTATAATTAACATGCTCTCACTATTCTCTCATGCTTATTTGCTCACTATCACTTTATGCCGTCATTGTATTCTCAGATGCTCACTCCCACTGTTCTCTGATGCTCTCGGTGTCATATGCCCTCACTGTATTATGATAATGTGTTCATGCCCTCTGTATTCTGATTCTTTCACCATACGCACGTGCTCTCACTATACTCTGGCGTGCTCTGAGGTTTTCCCCCACTTTCTTCCTCTCCATTTCCCGCTTTCCCCATTGAAAAAAAAAGGTAAAATTTTTACGCAAGCTGATCAGGGCTGCCCTTTGCTTATCATTCCATCCTCCTCCCCCCGCTGCCCTCCCAACGCCTTCCCCCTTCCTCTTCCCCCCACGTACCCGCTCTCAGCATGTGCGCCCAGGGCTGCTGCTGTCATTCTGCAACCTGCAAGTAAGCTTGTACAGAAGAACACGAGTTCGAGTCGAATATATTGTAAAAAAAAAGCCTTGCAAGCAGTGTCTGATTTCGTATTTTCTCCGCCTAGGAGATTTCAAATCAATTTAGATTGTATTTTTTTTCTTCTCCTTCCGTCATCGATCTTTCCTTTTGTCGATGTTCTTTCCGTTCCTTTCCACATGATTTCCGTTCGTCTCCTCGCACCTGTTCCTCTCCTCCTTTCTGTTCCTCTCTTCATATCTCTCCCTTTTTTGAAATCTCGTTTCTGATTCAAATCTTGGCCCCGTTCCTCCTTGAAAATCTCGGTTCCCAACCCCTCATTTCGCATCCCCTGCACCCATTCTTCCCTCACACAACATGTGATATTAAGGGCTGTAGTGCGAACAGCACGTGTGACATGTCTAGTGTGACCTGTATTTGTGACTCTGGTTTCATGCTTCAGTCGGACGCCAGGACGTGCGTTGGTAGGTGCTGAGTGTTGTGCCGCTGGGTTCAAATGCTAATGTGTACTTCATGATCGTGCAGCTGTGCTCTGCCTCTTGCATCTGCTGGTACATTTTGTCGCACTATATTCTCACCCCTTCTTTCACATCCCTTTGCTTTTGGTAAAATCCTTCCCCCCCCCCCCCCCTTTCCTGATAGTATCTTACGTCGTACCGCCGCTATATTCACGTCCCCTCCAAACCCCCCCTCCTTTCTACTCGGCCTCTGCCCTCACCCAGATGCTTGCCTCCTAAAGGGCTGTGGTGCGAACAGCACCTATGTCAAGACCATTGGAGTGGCCTCCTGTGTGTGTGACTCTGGCTTCGTGCTGCAGGCTGACGGCAGGACGTGCATTGGTAGGTGCTGGGTGTTGTGCCACAGTGATCACATGCTGCTGTGTGCTTAATGATTTCCTCATGCAACGGTCGGTCCTGTTTGCTTAATTTCTTTACCTCTCTTTTTGCATCCCTTTTCAAAAGGTCGTTTTGGTGCAATCATGGCCCTTACCACCTTACCACGCATGCTCCTCTTGACAGAATCACATTTTCCACCACCCTACCTTCTACGTCCCTTCCACCCCACCTCTCCCTCTCCTCCCCCTCTTCCCCCACCCAAATGCCTGCAAGATTCAGGGCTGTGGTGCGAACAGCACCCGCGTCAAGAACGATGGAGTGCCCTCCTGTGTTTGCAACTCTGGCTTCGTGCTGCAGGCTGATGGCAGGACGTGCATCGGTACGTGTTGAGTGCTATACCTCTCTGTTCAATGGTAGCTGTTGGCTGCCTCCAGCATGAGTCAGTCGATCCTGTCAATGCAGAGTTGTCTCACACACCCTTTCACGTCCCAACTTGAAAAGAAATGAAAGTCCGACTTTTGGTCTCGCCTTTTGTCACAAAGTTCTGATCCCTCTATCCCTCATTCAACGTCTCCTCTACCCCTCATTTCTCATCTCCTCCATATGTTCCCCCTCCCAGATGCCTGCAAAATCTAAGGCTGTGGTACTTACAGCAGCTGTGTCAAGACCGATGGAGTGGCCTCCTGTGTTTCTGACTCTGGTTTCGTGCTGCAGTCGGATGGCAGGACGTGCATCGGGAAGTGCTGAGTGTTGTGACTCTGTGCTCAAGGTCTGCTCTGCGCGTGTTGATCTACCTCATGCATCTGTGAGCTGCTTCTAGCATGTGGTACTTTTCCTGGGATCGCATAATATCTTCAGATCTCCTATTGCATCATCTTTTAGAAATCAGTTTCTGGTGGCCCCCACTCTCCCGGCAGAATCGGGACTCCCACCATCCCTTGTTTCATGTCCTCTCCCACCCTGCTCTCCCCTCTCCTCCGCCTTCTCTCAGATGCCTGCAGGGTTCTGCGTTGTGGCTCATACAGCCGCTGTGTCAAGACCAATGGAGTGGCGTCTTGTGTTTGCTACACTGGTTACGTGCTGCAGTCAGATGGCAGGACGTGCAAGTAGTCCGCAGGAGGTGGGTGATATTATGCTGCTTCCAGTGCCAATGCTTACACTGATGTTATACGTCCCTAACACCTCGTTTGAAACACCTCGTTCCCCTCACCGAGATGCATACGGGGACGTGAGCTGGTGTAAGAACAGGCACTGTTTCAATGGGTGTAGCGCTTACCGATGACCCAGGCTAAATGGCTTATCTATTTATCCTCTCTTGCACCCTTAGTCCTATGCCTGAGACGTCTCATTTTATCTCTCACTCCCTCACACCCTTTCCAATCCGTTTCTCATCCCTCTCCTTCCAACAGGCAAGCCACCTCTGGAATAGTCACTCTCTTATGTCAACAAAACTCTTTATGGATTGTGGCAGATTCCTTTAAGTCTATAGTAGGGGACTAGGGTCTATCTTTCACCTTTTGGTTGGCTAGTTTTGGCACCAATTCACAACTTATGCATACAGACATAAATTCTTCTTTCCCCTCCTCTTGCTTTGTTCGGCACTTTATTTTATATTATTTTTTATTTCTATTATTGTATTTTCTTGTGTGCAATTTGTTGAAGTGGTTGAGTGAAACCCGATGGTTATTGAAACTTGATTATGACCAGTGGAGGTGTATCATTATAATGTGCGAGCTTTCAGGAAAGGTCTCAATCAGTGCCGCCCCCTAAAATTTAAAACATTACCTACCCTGACTAAAATTCACCCTGATTTTTCAGTGCTGTGTGTTAAAGCCCGAGTACCACATGGATGTTTCAGTCGCGAACATTCTTGCTGCAGTGCCTAAGATGGGCGAGGGGTGAGGCAGCAAATGGGTATTCGCTTAAATGCACCAGACTCACTTGATGCTGTGCCTCGGTTTGGTGAAACGAATGCAACAGCTGAATAGCTTGGGAGTCATCACGCCCTCTGCCCCTACGCCTCTTAAACCTAGCGGACTAGGCCTTAGATCCGTCCTCCTGTGGCTCAGATCCGCCCTCTCGCAGACCCGATCTGCCCTCCCGCGGTTTCGATCCGCCCTCCCGCAGACCCGATCTGCCCTCTCGCGGCCTTACTCTGCACTACAGCAACTCCCCTCCCTCCTCTTGCTCGCCGCTGCACCTCTCGTCACGCCTCGCCGCGGACGAGCTGCACGTAGCCGCGGAAGTCGGACGCGCCATCGTGGACCCGACCCATACGCAGTCGCGGGTGACCAGCGTGTCGTCGCGGACAGCCCGCCGCCGCAGACGACTATCAACCCGTCGCGGACAGCCGTGCAGCGGTTAACGACATGTGCGCCACCGCGGACGGCCGGCGTGCAGCCGCGGACGACGAGCGCGTCGCCGCGGACGGCTGACACACGACCGCGGATGACGAGCGCGCCGCCGCGGACGGCCGACACGAAGCCATGGACGATGGGCGCGCCGCCGTGGACGGCCAACATGCAGCCGCGCATGCCTAGCCCGTCGTCGCGGAAGGCCTGTGCGTAGCTGCAGCCGACCAGCGCGCAACCGCCCCTGACGTGCGCCCAATTCAGGCACGCACCTCCAGCACGCGCCCTACCCCCCTGCCCCGCCTCCCCCTACTCCACCTCCAACAGAACCAACAGCGACACCAGCAGCGGCACCGGCAGCGGCACCAGCACCGGCACCAGCACCAGCACCGGCAGCGGCACCAGCATCGGCACCGGTAGCGGCATTGGCGGGAGTACTAGCAGCGGCACCTTCCTGCCCTCGCCATCATGGCGTCTTCACATTCGTCGGTCAACTTAGCGACCTTCGACACCCTCGAGCTGTTGGGTCACATCCCCCATCTATACCCCTTAGTAGTGGTCAGTGGATACACCTTCAGTCTATCATGTTCCAGCAAGAGTGTGGTCTTCGGCCCGTCGCCCCTTCCGCCCCCACCGGACCTGCTCCCGACGCTCTCGGACCCGAACGTCGGGTCACCTGGTGATCCTCCCCCCTTCACGGCGGAGACTGCCATCCGTACCTATTGCACCACCCTCAACAACCACCTCCATCGGCAAGTGCGCTATGAGGACGACAAGTCTATCTACGATGATGCTGCTGTTCGCAACCGCAAATATCAAGACCACCTCGACACGTACACCACACACCTCGCCACCTACACCACTGATATTGCTGCATGGCGCAATGCTGATTGCTGCCATTCTCCTTGCCACCATCCCTTTCTCCCTCAAATGACAGGTCTCACCTACCTCCTCCTCCCACCTGCGGCAACTGCTCGTCGACCTCTTTGACAGGCAGGACATTGACACCATCTACGCGCTCATCAAGGGTTTCAGGTCCCTCTCCATGGACTCCACTACCGGCGCAGCCACCTTCACTCGCCACGCCCTCGGCCTTGCTCGCTGCCTTGCACCATTGGATGTTATTTACCCTGACACCTTCATATGCTGCACCTCCTCAAGGACCTCACCCCTGCCTTTGACACCCACAAAGCTACATGCAGCCCATCTCTAAGCATCACACTCCTGCTCAGGTTGCATAGTGGATTATCACCAACGAGGCTGAAATCCTTTGCCATTCTTACTCTATCGCCGCAGCAACACAGCTGTGAAGCAGCAAGAGCTGGTGTGGGGGTGGGCGTGGAGGTGGGCGTGGTGGTGGGTGAGGCAGTTCAAGCGGCCGCGGTGGTGCTGGTCGTGGTGCAGCAACGGCCTTCCCGCCCTGTCAGTACTTGCCCCTTCATGGTCCTACTCGAGGCCAACGCTACAACCAAATCACTCATGCAATTGGAACCTGCTTCAAGCCATTACGCCCCTTTCTGCTCTACGCCCCTCGCTCCTCCACCCAGGCCCACCAGGCCCTTACCCCTCCCTCGCAGCAGCAGCAACGTGTTCAGCAGCAGGGGCCGCAACAGTACGGGCGGTTGCTTCAGCATCTCCAGCAGCAGCTTTAGAAACTCTAATAGCAGCTCGACCTCCAGCCCCAGCTGCCTCTCTTCCCTCCTCCTCCTGCCCCTCACCAGCAGCCCTTTCCTAGTTGGACCGCCGAAAAATGCCTCCTCCGCGGCCCACCTCTCTAGCGCATCTCCCGCACCATCCACAAGTGGCAATATGAACTGCTTTCCCTCCTCTGGCTTTGTTGAATTGCTTAGTCAGGCCGCATCTGTTGCATCCCCCATGTATGCCCCTGCTATTAATGAAACTTTGTTCCTGTACTCTGCCTCACCCTCCTCCAACCTTGATGTTGGTACACTGTGCCCTCTTCCCACACCCACCTCCCTCCTCGGCGTTAACAACAGTTTTTCCATCCCCTATTATAACACCTCCACCCTGCCGTGTCCTCTCTTCCTTAAGGTACTGGCACCGGTATCCCCGATTGCCAGTCTCGCGACATTCTTCAGACTTACATCCTCCCTCACTCCCCACTGCAAAACAGCTCGGCTGAGAGTTGTGTTCGGGATCACCAAAACAGCCCGGTCTCTTCTTGTCCAAGCCTCCTGCCCCCCTTCTCTGTGGGACTACGCCTGTAACGTATTACCTAAGACGTAGCTCCCCTATTAGTCTAACTCTACTTAGCGCGACCTACGCTAGCTAGCGGGTGTCGAGGGGATTTGTGTGTTGGGGATTCAGAGGGGTTGAGTTGAGTAACAATTGTAACCAACCACCACAAAATGACAAACCAGGTTGGGGAACGTTCCAACCCTCACATTGGTCGGAATTCCAACCAACCAGAATTGTGGAACCTTGTTACACCTTATCTTGCCAATGTTTACAGGTGCACAATGTTCATTGGCTCACAGCATAACATGCCACCTAAGCAACCCCACCTTAGGAGCTCCACCACCTTGTGGCCATGGAGGAGGAGGAGCTCCCCAAGAAGTTATTGGAGGGGGTCTGAGCCAAGAGCTTATTCTTCCCATTCCAACTTTCAACAACTCAATATTGGAAATGAAATTTCGTCTAAGTCAATACTCTTCTCCGCGCCATCTACATAGTGGTTATTATTACATAGAGTAACTTATGATCTCAAGATCTTATAAACTCTGTTATTTTATGCCTGCAGCCCGTTTGTTATAAAGGCAAAGCTGTTACATTGGTATCACGAGCTTAGGTTGATCCTTACACTTGTCTGGATTCATCTTTGGATATATTATTTCTTATACTTTTTTTTTTCCTGTTTGAGTAAAGGGCTTTAGATAGATTTTTAAGCAACTTGAAAAGAATATATCAAGACCTGGAGGATTGATGACTACTAGTTCTTCAAGCTACATAACCTTCAAGCATATTTGAGAGAGTAAAATCTCTCTTGCCCTCCAGTATCTCAACAAGCTAGGGGTGGGCACCAGGGCGGGGGTAGAGATTCTCACCCATTATTTTCGGTCAGTGCTGGCCACTCACCCCGAGTGGTGTGCATTGCAGATCGAGATTGCGAATGCCTTCAATTCGTTTCACCGTCATGTGATGTTCGAGGGGCTGCGGGAGTCGCCTTTCTCAGGGTTGATCCCTTCCTTGCGTGTTTTCTATGAGACACCTAGCGACCTGTACCTCCGAGCGGGCCCTTTCATGAAGAGCCTCGAGTAGGGGGACCTGCTTGGCCCTTTTCTTTTCGCGTTCAGGCAGAAGCAGGTGATGGAGCCGGTTACTAGAGAGTTCATGGACCTTCTTTTCTTGAGTTATGCGGACAATACATATATCATGGGTCCAGCAGCTAGAATTCTGGAGGCTTTTGGGGTGCTGCAAGAGCGGTTGGAGTGGGTGGGCCTGGAGGTGCGGGCGCACAAGTGCCGGTTTTGGGAGTGCGAAGATATTGATGTGGAGCGGGCATTGTCATTGGGGATGCAGCGGGTGAAGGGGGGCCTCACTGTAGTGGGAGTGCCTATTGGGGAGGAGGATTGGAAGGTGGTCCAGTTACGGGAGTGGCTTTGACAGTTGCAGGTGCCATTGCTATGGCTGCCCCTGCTCGACCACCCACATATGGCCTCACATCTCCTCGCCATTGCAGTTTCAGCGCGGCCGATGTACCTTGCCCAGACTATGCCGCCGCGGCCGGAGGTGTTGGAGGCCTTTGGGG